CCCCAAAACCCCAAAACCCCAAAACCCCAAAACCCCAATGATTATTATTTTTATTGAAAATGATGAAGGAAGAACTTTCAGATCAAGCTCCCCCAGATAGGTACAAATTTGTCTACTTCACTTTCCTATTTCTTGGAATGGGGCTGCTCATGCCATTTAACACTTTAATGACAGCTCTGGATTACTTTATTGTCAAACTTCCAGGACATGATGTTGACTTCATTGCTTCGATCTTGGCAAATGGTCCTTTGTTTGTCTTTAATCTGATAATGATTATTTTTTCAAAATATTTTCCAGAGAAGAGAACTATTGGTGTGACTATGATGTTGATGATGGCTATAACACTGTTCTTACCATTCATACCAATGGTCGCTGGCAATAATGTTGAAACTGCATGGGTGATATTCATTGTATCTGTCCTTCTACTGTCTTCAGTCAATGGTATGCTACAATGTATGCTCTATGGATTCACAGGTTCAGTTCCAGGAAACTACATTGCTCCTCTAAATACAGGCGTGGGAGTCAGTGGAATTGTGATTAGTGTACTTAGAGCTATCTCTTTAATTTTCTTTCCGACGGATTCAGATCCTGAAAACCCTAACTTCTTCAAGGGCTCACTGATGTACTTCATCATTGTATCTCTCATCTTGGTTCTCTGAACTGTGATGTTGACTCTCTTGCCCAGGACTGAGTATTATAGTTACCATATGAATCAGACTAGGCAACAACTGGATAGCGCTAGTTTAGAAGGGGAAGAGCAAGAATTGGCACTGGGGAATTCAGAAGAAGAGTCTATTATACAGAATAGAGAGATGAACAAAGGAATTTTTCAATATATGTGGGAAGTTCATAATACAGTCCTGATTACTGGTTATGGGCTGGCTCTTGTGTATACTCAAACATTCTGAGTGTTCCCAGGGGTATTCCTTCAAGCAGAAATCGATTTCTTTGAGAATCAATCATGGGAAGTCTGGTTTGCTATATCGCTATTTAACTTTGCAGATACGGCTGGAAGATATGCATCAGAATTGAAAGTAGTTTTAACAGAGAACACCACAGCTGTTGCTACATTGTAAGATTAATTTTTAACATTAACTTTCATTCATTTGTCCTAAATAGTTGTTTAGACTCAGGTTCATTCCCATCGCCTTTGCATTTCTTTCAGCTTATGATATCCCATTCTTCAGCCACGATGTCTTCAAAATCGCCAATATCATCTTGATCGGACTGAGCAACGGTTACGTAGGCAACTGTCAGATGGTGGTTGCAGTGAACAACTCCAGAGTTAGAGACAAAGGGATCACTTCAATGTTCATGTCAGTGTTCTTGATATTCGGAGTCACAGTGGGAAGTCTGATAGCATCATTTGGAATTGTAAGGCTGTTTTAGTACGAAAGTTGGTTACTTATATCTTATTCAGCATCCAAAATCGCAATTTTCAACACTCCCCTTTCTCCCCGGGGTTTTGGGGTTTTGGGGTTTTGGGGTTTTGGGGTTTTGGGG